CTTAAATATTTCACTCATTGTCGTCACCTAGTGAGGTAAAGAGTCATTGGAAAAAATACCCGGGCCTGTTCAAACCAAGACAAATGTTCGGTTTGATAAATTAATATAATTTACTTGAAAGGCTGTTAATGCGTCTGTAAGACCAACACGAAAATGAGCATGCCATGTCGTCAATGCAACGCGTCTATCTTATACAGAGAGGTGCTCTGATGCACGTGAACAGGCGATAGGAGCTTTTATTTTGACATGCTGTATATCGTCCTTGAATTTCCGGGTAGAGTTAGAGCAGGGCTTTCGCGAGCGGACTGTGCGGGATGGAAACGCGGTGTTTATGTCTTTTACTGGTCTGTGTGCTGTCACTGAATCACGCCACAGCCGACAATGGCAGCGTTAAAAAGATGAAAATGCAATATACAGGAATCTTTCTCTCAACAAATACATTCATGTAAATGAACAGAAAAACAAACACCCAGTGGCGCTGCTTCAGTAGGATTTCTGGGCCATTTGTACATCTTTTCTACATCAGGCCCTTTCATAATTCGCTCAGTGTGTTTTCTGTGGGCAGCGTCCTGAAGACAGTATGGTGGTTGTCTTTCCTTTTGAATTAATCAGGGTTTAAAAACGATTTATTGAATGCTTAAATATTTCACTCATTGTCGTCACCTAGTGAGGTAAAGAGTCATTGGAAAAAATACCCGGGCCTGTTCAAACCAAGACAAATGTTCGGTTTGATAAATTAATATAATTTACTTGAAAGGCTGTTAATGCGTCTGTAAGACCAACACGAAAATGAGCACGCCATGTCGTCAATGCAACGCGTCTATCTTATACAGAGAGGTGCTCTGATGCACGTGAACAGGCGATAGGAGCTTTTATTTTGACATGCTGTATATCGTCCTTGAATTTCCGGGTAGAGTTAGAGCAGGGCTTTCGCGAGCGGACTGTGCGGGATGGAAACGCGGTGTTTATGTCTTTTACTGGTCTGTGTGCTGTCCCTGAATCATGCCACAGCCGACAATGGCAGCGTTAAAAAGATGAAAATGCAATATACAGGAATGCCACTGCTGAAGTTTCAGATTTGGTGAGTAAACGGAATATATTTCTGTTTCCTGTCAGTGCGCGTGCTGATCAGTGTCATGTGTCGGTAAAGCAACTGAATTAATCTAAAGTGACATTTATTGTGTACGTTCAGTCAGGTGGTTTATGCATATTTCCTATTCGTTTTCTCTATCTAGCCGAGCACACTGGCCTAAGCATCAGTGCGCTAGAATCATAATACCATGAATAACTACCTTTTTATAGCATAGTATACGTAGTGTTTCATGACGTTTACTGAATTTATATTATTTAGTATACTAGTAGTATGTAAATATAATCGTATACAAGTATAGTTTTTTTTTTTTTTGCATTTGCAAAATGTCTTATTGCACAAACTTGCTATAACGACTTGCAGTTTGTTGTGTAATAAGCTTTTTTTATTTTTTTTATTTGCAGTGTATCCTGAGGGTACAGGCGGGTGTTTGAAGAGTACTCTCGGGTTCTCACCCAGAGGTACCCAGACATCCGCATCGAGGGAGAAAACTTCCTGCCACAGCCTATATACAGGTGTGTTTCTCAAGCATTTCTCATTTCATCAATAACTTTTGTATTGCAGACCATACAGATTTATGGACAGCTCCTATTAAAACAGTAGTGATTTTAACTCCTAAACTGAAACTGAAATGTCTTTTTATTTATTTTTAGGCACACAGCTTCCTTCCTCTCTGTCTTCAAACTTGCATTGATTGGTTTAATTATCCTGGGAAAAGACCCTTTTACATTTTTCCACATGGAGACTCCAGGAATCTGGCTTTGGGCACAAGAGAATAAGGTCAGCGTAGTGCATACGTACTACTTTTAAAAAATGTCACATAATATTTTGGAATATGTAAATTCACAGTGGGTCATTCACATATAATTGTGAAGTTGTGGGATTTTTCTGCCGCTGTTTTTGATATCACTCCTTTTAATCTTTTTTTTTTTTTCATTCCCAGAGAGGATATGTAAATTGTATAAATAAATATATCATAAATAAATAGTCAAAAATGTAATTTATTTAAATCAGTTTATTTTCTTCATTTGTTTTTCCTGTTAATTTTATATGAATTACACTTTATTTCTATATTGTCTAAATTTCTACCTAAATTTCAGTGATCAAGTTCAAATATCCCCCCTCTGTTTATATATATACAGTGGTGTGAAAAAGTGTTGGCCCCCTTCCTGATTTCTTATTTTTTTGCATGTTTGTCACACTTTAATGTTTCAGATCATCAAACAAATTTAAATATTAGTAAAAGATAACACAAGTGAACACAACATGCAGTTTTTAAATGAAGGTTTTTATTATTAAGGGAAAACAAAACCCAAAACTACATGGCCCTGTGTGAAAAAGTGTTTGCCCCCTAAACCTAATAACTAGTTGGGCCACCCTTAGCAGCAACAACTGCAATCAAGCGTTTGCGATAACTTGCAATGAGTCTGTTACAGCGCTGTGGAGGAATTTTGGTCCACTCATCTATGCAGAATTGTTGTAATTCAGCCACATTGGAGAGTTTTCGAGCATGAACCGCCTTTTTAACCCTCATGTGGTATTCGGGTCCTTTTTGCTCTGAAAATTTTTTCTTTTTCCCGAATTATTTATCTTTGACTAATATTTAAATTTGTTTGATGATCTGAAACATTAAAGTGTGACAAACATGCAAAAAAATAAGAAATCAGGAAGGGGGCCAACACTTTTTCACACCACTGTGTATATATATATATATATATATATATACACACACACACCATGTTTATATGCTTAACTTCTCACATAAAATTTCCCAGGCAGAAAAAGGTCAATTTTGTACTGTCTGTAGTGTAGCAATGTACTGTATGAACCACAGCTCACACAGAAGTCACTTTTAAACCGAGGAGCTTTCTGTCAATGTAGCAAATTTGCATGACCAGCTTGACCCTGTTACGAAATCTGTGGGGAAATTTTTCACCCTCACATGAAATTCCTTATATGGCAATGCTGGCTCAACCAATGGCTATCTTCAGAAATTACAATGCACACTTAAAATGTTTGAGTTGCCTACTACACGTGTTTGTGACTTTAGTTTGTTGTGTTTTTGTAAAGATATATGCCTGCATGATGGTGTTCTTCCTCAGCAACATGATTGAAAACCAGTGTATGTCCACTGGTGCCTTTGAAATCACACTTAATGGTAAGACTGATGATTAATTATAGATCAAAATATTCCAGCACCAAGATTTCACACAGCTGTTGAAACTACATGATGTTTAATGCGAGTGATTTTTTCCTCTGCGTGTGTATGTTTATGTGCTCACAGATGTGCCTGTATGGTCAAAGCTGCAGTCGGGCCACCTGCCCTCCATGCAGCAGCTGGTGCAGATTCTGGAGAATGAGATGAAGCTGAGTGCACACATGGACTCTCTCCCACACAGACGGGCGTAGAGATGTATTAACTAAACCGACTGGCTGTGGCTTGTGGGTAGTCTGATGGTTTTTTTTGGCACCATAAATTAAAGGGGTCATATGTTTTAGGTAGGTGTGGCTGACTCTTAACTTTTATAAAGAATATCTCTTTGGATTTGAGACTTTAGTCTTTGCAACTTTACAGATCTTCTTTATGCACCAAGAGCTTGTAACACTCCAAAGAGAAAGGAAAACTTGAAATCGCATCATATGACCCCTTTAAGATCAAAGATCTTGAATGTGTCCACAAGGATTCTGCAGGTCTTATTTCACCTTTCCATAATTGAAGACCTTAAAAGACCTTTAAAACGTTAAATTCAGAGCTTTTCAGATAGTTTTCAACCTTATACGTCAGACCTTTATCTTTTCCCTCTTTGTAACTTCCTCTCCAGGTGTGTGATGTGAGGCTTTGGTGTGTGAGATGGCATTAATGAAGGTTTGCACTGAACGCAGTGTGTCTGCTGGTGTAGACTGGATGTCCAGCCCTCTCTCACTGCTCCATGGGTCTCTCTATATCCACAGCCCTACAGTCCTCGGCTAATAATTATGGAGGAAATGGAAGGTTTCATCTGCAGGTATTCTGCTGTCATCGACCAATAAAAACACATGCTGTTAAGTGAGTCAAATTGGTGTTAAATACAGTGTTTACCTGTTTTGGGGTGCATGCAGTAGACTGCTGTATTAATTAAAATCAGTTTTCAGATTTGGATTTTCAAACTCTTTGTAATATCTGCGGAACTACAGTTCTGTTGTTGATTTCTCTCTCTCTCTCACACTCTCTCTCTCTTTACCCTTTCATCTTTCTTCATATGCTCTTGTGCCAATTCATTAATTCCACTGATGTTTATGCTAATTTTCAATGGATGTTTTAGACAACGGTATTCGTTAGAAATATATAACTAAATATGTACATATCATCAAGGATGTACTTTGATACATTTTGATTTTTGACCATTTTTATTATTTGTTTATACTCTGTTTTGAATAAATTCGGTCAATGGATGTGTAAACAAATGGTGTCTTTTGTCATTGGAAACCGTTTTCTTCCACGAGAGCGCTCGGTGGCTCAGAAGACCGAATACAATATTTTATATTTTCAGGATGTTTTTTTTTCCCCCTTCCGTTTATAGGAGACGTTTGTTCATTAAGCGGTAGGATTTTAAACCTATTAAAAGTATTCAAATGGGAATACTAAAACGATTGAATAAAACTGATATCCAGTTGTGTGATTGGTTCATCCTGAACAGCGATGAAAAAAGTAACAGATACCACATGAAAAAACGGCTAAAAAACATCTACTGGATCTTTCGAGGGAGATTACATGTGACTTTGTAAATTATTAAAATATATATTAGTTATATCATATTACCAATGTTTTGGCATGTGAAGCTTTCTTAAAACCATGCAAGTAAAGCTAACCGAACGTGTCACTTTTAGAGGACCACTAGATGGCGCCCGCTATTCAAATAGAGCTCGGTCACATGGTATGCTTTGCAAGGGAAGTAACGTGTATAGAGAACACGCGTGTTGCGAAGCGAAATGTGATTTTTGTTCGATTTTTTTTTCTTTTGTAATTCATTTTTAGCGTGAAAGTCTTCCAGCAGATGAAATTCTGAATTAACAGTCACGTGGAGTTAACGCGAGGTGAACGTGACCATAAGTTCTTTAGGCTGTCTGTGTCATGTTACTTAAATTTGCTTCATGTATGATCACTAGGTATTTACTGTTATCCTGTTTAGTACCAATACAAAAAGTCTAGGCAAATGCATTATAGAGCCGATTAAGTTAGTCATAGTCAAAAGTCGATAGTCATCCAGGTGTGTTTTGGAGGAGTGATGGATGGGGATCCAGCAGGAATGAATTTATCACAACAGTCATCAAGCATGGAAGTGAAAGAGGATATGGATACCAAAAGTGAAAGTGAGCATCAGCCATCAAAAGATGCTTTGATTGACATCAGCTTTTGCGGATCCACTCCTCTGTTGTGGAAGGTGTCGGACATGAAAAGGTGCAGATCTGTGGGAGTGATCGGGGCTCTGGTGGGCTCTCTGGCCCGTCAGCCTCGGCAGAACGTGCGGCTCGGCAGACCGCTGGAGCTCCTGCAGGAGGAGGCGCTGCTGCTGGAGGACACGAACACTGCTGCTGCTTCTCTGCAAGCTCAGGTGGCACACTTCCCCTGTACAGCCACAGAATGCAATCATCTATCTAACTATCTATCTATCTATCTTAAAATGTGTCTTATACTTTATGAGTGATATATGTGTGTGTGTATTATGATTATTTTCATCAGGATTGTGGAGATGAGAGGCATTCGGAGGCTGTGAGGCAGTATGAGGCCGGTCTGGAGAGCAGTTATAAGGAGCAGTGTGCTCTGGCCCTGGAGGACAAGAAGACAGTGCTGAGGAGAATCATGAATGAGAAGGAGAACGGTGAGAGAGTGTCTGCTAAAGTCATAGATGGAAGACACTAGGGCCAATTTATTTTACATTTCTCCTATTTACATATTCAGATGCTTATTTTCTTTTGGCATAAGTGACTATTGTGCCAATAGTATATGAACATGTAAACACTAAAAAAGAGTTTTGAATTTCATACAAGAATTTATTAACCGTACTTGTATCACTATACTTCATATTGTTCATATGAATGCTCCAGGTTTAATACAAGTTAAGATTTGCCGACAAAATATGTGGCTTTCTGTCGATTACCATATAACGTAATTGTAACTTTTTTGGGGGGGGGGCGCAATTTGAAGTAGTGCAGTTACAGTTGATGTTTAGGGGCTGGAATAAATGTTAAAAAACCTGTTATAAATCCACATATATTACAACAGTGGCAATGAGAGGTCAGTGGCAGTATCCACCAAGATACTGCAAATAATGCTCTTGACCTATTTGTGGTTTAAAAAATAAAACTGAACCCAATTTCTTTATTTCTCAACTGCTCAAACCTTACAGCCAAAGTGAAATCTTAAGATTAGATACAACAATAATAATAATAAAAAAATACATGTTTACAAGTTTAATTTAAGGCATCAGAACTTTTAACAGTAAAACTAAACAAAGTACTTGACAAAAAAAAAAGCCTACTGTGTTAAAATAATAAAACAAAATGCATATTCAGGGCTCATTGATACAGATTTTTATTCTGGCCCCCACCACAAAAATTTAGATACAACAATAATAATAATAAAAAAATACATGTTTACAAGTTTAATTTAAGGCATCAGAACTTTTAACAGTAAAACTAAACAAAGTACTTGACAAAAAAAAAGCCTACTGTGTTAAAATAATAAAACAAAATGCATATTCAGGGCTCAGTGATACAGATTTTTATTCTGGCCCCCACCACAAAAATAAATAAAAAATATTATTGTTTTTGACCTATGTAACCTTGTATTTTAATAAATAAGGTTGTTATGGGACCAAAATATTAGATACCAGTTAAATTTCACAATTCCCAATTCCAATTTCAACAACACAGCAAGAACTACTAGCCAAACTAATATAAAATTCAAACATTATTAAAGACAAGTAAACAGTCAATAAAAAATGATAACAAATGATTTAAACACAGAAGTGTTAAGTTTTCGTGTTGGTCTAACAGTAATATTCTAGTAAGAATTACTGCAGACATTAAATAAATTAATCAATGCAAAATAACTGTATGAATTAAATATAGATTAACCTTTGTTAAAGCTATGAAAGTTATTCAGTAAAGAGCAGTGAATGACTTTTTTTCTGTCTTTTGTTGTTTGATAACATTAATGGCACAGACAGCAGCAGGTATATTAGGCTGTCACTTTTACCTTATTCACGGATTTAATATATTGACACGCATCCAATTTTCTCTCAGCTGTTATTTATCAATTAGCTCCCGAGGCTACTTGCCAAGATGGGTATTTATATCTTCTAAATGCGAATTTTGTCACTGTTTTGGAGCACACTGCCTTATAGATAACCTTAAGACTAACATATTGATACTAACACCCAAAAAACTATAATTTTATGTGTATTGGTCTGTTCAAGTGCAATAAGCGCCCTGATACTGAATATAATATGTGTCAATGATATTTGGCTCTCCCTGATCCCACAGGCACTGATAACTCTGGCAATGCAATTAGAGACCGTCTTAATGCACTGGACCAGGCGTTCCGCTTCCCGTGGCCGGCTATGGCGGTTCAGCTCTGTACTGCCCGCGCCGGCTTCAGCCACTGTCCGGAGGAACGCAGTTTTCATTCCACTGATTGGCCAATGCCTAGAGATGAACGCTTGAACACTAGATTCTGTGTATACAGAGATCTGAGAAATAAAGGCTTCTACCTGACCTCTGCAGGGAAGTTTGGAGGAGATTTCCTGGTGTATCCAGGTAAGTTTGTGACGACCAGGAATATCCAAAGGCCAATTTTTTTTCATTGATTACAGATATATAAATAAGTGCAGCTTAACAGCCAAGATCTTTATATTGTCATTTTGCAGGCGATCCTCTGCGTTTCCATGCTCATTTCATTGCATTATGCATCTCCATGGATGAAGAGTTACCTCTCTGTGATATTCTAGCTATAGCTCGTCTGGGCTCTAATGTGAAGAAAACAGTATTGCTTTGCTCTCCACGGAACCGCAGCGAGACCGGAAAGGATGAGAGTGTGGAGGGTGATGTGGTGTATTCATCGCTGCAGTGGAGTTCTATGCTGTAACTACACAAATATAGTTTGTTTGATATTAGAGAGATGATGCTTTTCAGAAACTTGGTGTGCCCTCTGATGTGTAAAGAGTGTGTGTGATCATCTAATAAAAATGTTTTGTCTTTATCTTTTTGTGCTTTTTATGTTTATTTGTAGTATTGGTTTCCAGTACCACTCAGTTTAAACCTCACAGCCATTTAAAATTACTTATAAAGTGAGATGGCAAATATATTCTATGAGATTGTTCCGTTTTTTTATTTATATAGCGCTTTATACAATTCTGATTGTACCAAAGCAGCTATGCGGTGTCAGTTCATTGATGATTCAGTGATATCACCCAGTTCAGCTCTCTTCCAATAGTGTCTGTGCAATCAGTCAGTCAGGCGTCCCCAACTAAGCAAGCCAAAGGAGACAGTGGCAAGGAACCAAAACTCCATTGGTGACCAGAAATGAAGAACAAACCTTGGGAGAAACCAAGGAAATGGTTTAATTTCTGTTATGTAGTACCTGAACTTTAACTTAAAAAATATATATGTATGTATACATATATACATGCATATACATGCATATACATGTAGGGAAGTCGTGGCCTAATGGAATTACTTATAAAGTGAGATGGCAAATATATTCTATGAGATTGTTCCGTTTTTTTATTTATATAGCGCTTTATACAATTCTGATTGTACCAAAGCAGCTATGCGGTGTCAGTTCATTGATGATTCAGTGATATCACCCAGTTCAGCTCTCTTCCAATAGTGTCTGTGCAATCAGTCAGTCAGGCGTCCCCAACTAAGCAAGCCAAAGGAGACAGTGGCAAGGAACCAAAACTCCATTGGTGACCAGAAATGAAGAACAAACCTTGGGAGAAACCAAGGAAATGGTTTAATTTCTGTTATGTAGTACCTGAACTTTAACTTCAAAAATATATATGTATGTATACATATATACATGTAGGGAAGTCGTGGCCTAATGGTTAGAGAGTCGGACTCGTAACCCAAAGGTTGCGAGTTCGAGTCTCCGGTCCGGCAGGGATTGTAGGTGGGGGGAGTGAATGTACAGCGCCTTCAATACCATGACTGAGGTGCCCTTGAGCAAGGCACCGAACCCCCAACTGCTCCCCGGGCGCCGCAGCAAAAAATGGCTGCCCACTGCTC